GCTTATTTTATTTTTAAATACATACTATGTACATATGTATTTACAATACATGTATTTATGTTTTCCTTGGTTACTTGTTGGTTTTGTTTCATTTTTTGTTTTAATTTTTTAACTAAGCGATACATTCTTTTGTTTTAAATAATCGTCGCGCACAACATTTTTGTAATGACCATATTATTTCCAATTAGCATAAATTATAATTTCACGTCGTATTAGTTATTAAAAACTTAGTTTTTTCTTGCGCACCTAAATGTCAGAGCACTGCTACGTGGGGAAGTTTTTTTTTTTATTTACAATGAATAGCAAACATACAGACGCATACATTCTTAATAAGATAAAAACAATAATAAAACTCAAAAGCAACTAAAAAATAAATAACTAAAATTGTAATAATAAGATAAAAACAATAATAAACACAAAAGCAGCTAAAAAAATAAATAACTAAAATTGTAACAGTGAGAATAAAAAATAAAAATGTGTCGATCAAATTGTTGTCGTTGAAAAACGCGGAAGTCTGGAACAAAAGCCACACCTTTCTCATCAGCTGATCGTTGAAAATCTATTTGTCGTGTTTAAATTGAGATCTCAAATGATGCATTGCATATTGCAAAAACAGGTCGCGTAAAATATATTTATGCTTCTTCAAGTTCATTTATTTGTGAAAAAAATAGATATCTAATCAGCGATTCACGATGCTATAGCGCCGCTTTAGCATTTTGCAGATGATACGGATGATACGTTACTTTCATTCACGCGGGGAATTGCGCGATTCAAGCCTGCCACTACCACCAGCTGCGAGAGTCAGCCAAACCGAAACCGAAAACCTGTCAATTCAATCAGCAAGCCTCCAGTTTCTAATAAGTGCAAAACTCAGCGTATAATGAAAAAAAAAACTCCCAGACCATAAAGTCAAATAATGCCAGCGAAAACCGCAAAAACCGTAAACACATTAAATACACATGCGACCATACATACATATGTATGTATAGGTGTAGATAAATTTGTATATTTGTATGTACTTATGGATGTATATTGTACACATATTTTTCGCATGCGAATTTAGCGATTTACACGACGATGTGCGTACATCGCGGTCGCTGCGCTGCCCCGAAAGGTAGACTTCGCGCCTTGGCTGATCGGTGTGTTGCAGCTGCAGTCATAAATGCAATCGAAATAGAAGACAGACGATATGACGACATATAAATTGTATGTATGTATGTATTCACTTTGCCGTCGCGACGATGCGTAAACATTATTTCCCCTTAACCCATTATTTTAAGTGCGTAATGGCAATGATTGCTAAATTTTTTTTGGTCTTTCTGTATTGTTCTCAATAAAATGCAAAACGCGGGGGTTAAGCAAGTACCTAAATGGGACAATGATTAATTTCTCTCTTACAACTTTTGTGACGCGGCATTAACCCTTAATTACTGGCGCATTTCCGTTGGTTGTGTCTTTAATTAGATGTTCTTGCTGAGCGTGCAGGGGAGCGTACTAGTATTTGTTGGCTTTCAGAAGGTGCCGGGTTCGAAAGTCGTCAGTCAGGCGCTCCCTTTTTTCGAACCATAAAAAAGCATCTGTGAAGTGCAGAAGGAAAGCGTATTGAACGAAAAATTCAATCGGAAAAATTGCAGAAAAACAGCGAAAAACGTATCTGCTTCCCAAAAATGTTCCGTAAACAGACAAAAATCCGCATTTCATCCACTTTTTTTCCCCCTTTTTGGGATCTTTTGCTGGCTGTATACCCTTTGGCGGCTTGTCCCTTAACCGCTGTCGTCAAGCCCAACTAACGAGAAGTCCAGGAACCGTGCCAGTCCGACTGGATACCACCAGAGGGAGAGGAGCGGTAGTTGGGTGGAGGGAGGAAGTACTTAGGCATGCTCGCAAGGAATCTAACAATTCTATGCTTTATAGGAAAACTTCCGAGCTCGAGCTAGCCTTTCGTTTAAAAAGAATAGAACAATTGAGAATAGGTATTAGCTTTCAAACTGTTATGTAAAGGCGTCTAGAAAATTATAAAGATAATACACTTCGAGCAACCGCCGTTAATGTTGTTTGGCGTGAATTTCGTATCATTTACTAAAACCTCCAACAAAAACACGTTTTTTCAAATTATGCCGTTTTTCGATTGTTTTGCCCCTTTCTCGCGAATTACAATGAAACATCACCGGGAGGAGTTAACCGCATGTCGTACGGCATTATACCATCTACCGTACCGCGCCTGTTTGTGCAGGCCTTTACTGACCGAAAAATCAAAGAATTTTTTAAATGATTTATATTAGAATTGTAGAAGTTAGATTTTCATTAGCGTTCAGCCATGGCATATTCATCGCAAGAAAACGCTTTTCATTGTCTTAAATTTTTTTTTAGAACCGGCCATTAGCACGTGCATTAGGGTACCGCTCCAAAAAAAGTTACGGGTTTTCCACCGGAATCATAAAATTTAGACATTATATTTTAAACCTTCTGCCAAAATAATTTTGAAAAGTATTAAGATTTACGTGAGCTGAGTCAATTCTAAAATAGCTTTAAATTGATTATTTTATAAATAAAATGAGATTTTAAAAATAACTGTTTCAAGGTTAAAAGCTCAGCTTTTCGCTTTTGGTTTCCATGTATTTACTATGGGCGGAACTAACCATACCGAGTTTGGTACAAATTGGTAGAACGGTTACCGAGATACATATATGTGATCATAAGTGGGCGGTGCCACGCCCATTTTCCAAAATTTTATCCTAAACGTATTTCTTGGTACAGAATTGCAGCAGCAGAATTGCGTGGTTATTGTCCGATTTTAAAAATTTTCGGCCATTTCGTATGTTATACCAAGGTTAACAACTGTGCTTTACTTTTTCTCGCACGGTGTAATACATTATATATCTTAATATTTTTCTGAAATAAGTTTTATAATCCCGATAGAAAAAAATACCTTTTTTTATGGAGTGATACACCCTAATGTAAAATTCATAAAAGTTCACTATTTGAAAGTTCATCGCATGCGATATCACTAGTGTTCGATCGAGCGTTCGGAAAAATCGTAAAGAACATTTTTACAAATTAATTTTTTTGTTTAGTGCCTCTGTAGCGTTTCTGTTTTTTATGGCAACATTCTTATTTCTTGTCGTTGTTTTAATTTTATTTCCTGCCCGAAGTTTTAATACCGAAACCGCTTTTGGTAAGTTCAATTTTCAAAATAATGGGAGCGTTTATTCGAAGGCAATCTCGCTTCTAACATCTTGTGTACTGCACTTAATAAAAGTATTGATTTTTTCAAGCTACGTACCTACATATGTAATTTTTACTGTAAAAAATTCGCGTTCGGTTTCAGACAAAAATTCACGAAAAAATCCGAGAGTTCGGTTCGGTTTCGGCAACAAATTCGAGTTGGGTCGGACACTAGATATCACGCAGGGCAGTATCGACTCCAAAGGCAAAGGCAAATTGGATAGGGAGCAGCATCAGGGTTACGATTTTTGAATTTTTTCATTCGAAGTGGTCCATGCAGGGCGAATTAGTACAAAGTGGAGTGAGTACGTGTTAAAATAATTTGACAGCTGTGGTCCGTAGCCCGTCGTTTCCAATGTGTTTCAAGCTTCACGCAAATGCAGCTGTAGCATCGAGCGCTATTCATAATCGATTAATCTCCAGGGTCGTATCAGCCGAGGGTTCTTAACTCTAAGGGCGGTGGGGGGGTAAAGGACCGTTTAGCCTGAGTTTATACATACATACCTTCCGACTGTATTCTACATTTTGCATACGAATGTATGTAGATGTTTGATCCAGTATATTCCAGGTCCTCTGTTTCTACTCAAACAGCTGACTGTCAAATTCGCCAAAAACGAAATATTGCATATAGACATGTACATACATATGTACATACACCTGCGTTCAACGAATTAGAAACGAAATTCAAAATGATGTTTGCAAATTATGTTTTTTTCTTATTTTTAATAATTTTCAATTTAAAATATTTATCAATCTGTAACAGAAACACAATAATAAAAGTTTCAAAGCTTGCAAAAATTGCAAAAAAAAATATCAAACTTCAAAAAATTGTCATCAAAATCTCCAAATTTTTAATCAGAATATTTAGAAAATTTTCGGGTATGCAGTTCTGTAGCCCATTCAATTGTAGTCTAGAAAAAGCATGTCTCCAGTTGTTAAACATTTCCGTTGACTTTTTAGATTTTTTTTTTTTGGGGTGTTGCGGATTTTTTTCATATAAAAAAATTTTGATCATGTGTTATATGGAAGAAAATGCGCAACCCCCCTCACAAAAAAAAATTTAAAGATTGAATTATATTTTAAATGAAAATAAAAAATAAAAAATAAACATAATTTGCAAACAATATCATTCCAATTTCGTTTCTAAAGAGTTGAACGCAGGTGTACATGATCTACTTCCTCATTCAACACATAAATTTGTTTCAATAGCGATACGCGAAAATTTGGGGAAACTTCTAAAGGGCGAGATACGGAATGCAATGCTTGCCGGCATCAAGGAAAATTCGTCTAAACCTCTCGGGTACGAAAAGTACACCGTTTTCGAACCGTATGTCAATATACATACATATGTATGTACATTTGGAAATGTTCACTCGCGCGCTTTCGATTTCTCTGATTTGCATTCTCGATTCCGATTGATGTAGCCCTCCCTGCACGTTCACTGATGACTGTCAACTGCCGCTAATGATATAAGTAGTTGCGTTTAGCGTCAAGCTAATGCGATAATGATAAGTGGGGGCCGCCAGTAGGTGAGATATAAAGTGACAAAAATTTACCATACAAATGTACATATGAAGGCAGGCATATATGGAGCTTTCATTAGATAAAAGAAAATTTTGAAAGACGCAACGCAACGCGATGTGCAACGCAACAAAGCCAACAACTTCGTCGACAACGACAACAAAATCATCGCACCAAATCAAATAAAAATCAAAACAAAAAGAACAAAAAAGACCCACACACTAAAAACTCGCACAAAATAAATAAAAACTTACCTGAATCTGATGAAAATGCTCCATACTGCAACTATTTGTTGTGTCGCTGCTGCTTCTGCTACTTTACTGTTGTTGTTGTTGTTGTCGTCGCTGCTTCCTATCTTGCTGCTATAAGGCTCTGGGGCTCTATACACAAATGCTATGCTATGGTATACTTTGCTTAGGCGTTCACGTTGCGTTGTCCAACAATGCGCCGCCGTTCGCCACTCCACGTATTATAAAATTATACAATACCAACAATGTACTCCAATGCTCTATTGCCGCTTGCTAGCATAGCACGAAGAATAAAAAAGTCTCTCCTCACTCCTTCGTACACTCGCTCTCACTCACTGCTTTCGCTGTGCGTCTGCTTGGTACACAATAATGGCCAGCAATTACTAAATAAGGGGGGCTGTGGGAGGTTTTCGCGCGCGACGACCCCCTTCTGCTTCTCTGCCGTCTTCTTTAATCACTTCACCAAAAACAAAAATCACAGGCACTGTTCACTTGCTTTGCTTTGCACACCCGTTCGTCCCACAGTACAAAACCGATATATCAAAGTTACAAATGCTGCTTCACTCTACTTCCCCTCTTCAATATAACTTGGTACACTCTTTGCTTCTCTTCGTACTCCGCTACAAATGCCTTGTACAAAGCTAGTTGGTACGACTGACGGATTGCGACGAAAGACCCAATTGGTATTGCGTTTTTTTTTATATCTGCCTAAAGTTTTCGCTACACGCTTGGTACGTTTCGCCTATACTTTGTCGCTGGTAATGTCGAGCTCTATGCACTAGCACTGCTCGTTACTATGGCTCTATGCTGTGGGTACAGCTTTGCCCCTGATCTATAGCGTGTATTGTGTATGGTCGTCTCGTATAACCAGCCGTTACTTCTCTATAGCTGCTGCCGATTATGCACTCGCCAACGCTATCGTTGCTGTAGTCGTATTCCGCTGCGTCGTCGTATTTCCCACACGAATATCGTCACCCTCGTAGCCCCTTGGTTAGAAGTCCCTGTATATTGTATATTTTTATATTGTATAGCCGACGCCTATAGCTGACTGCCGTGGCGTTGCTGCTTCTGTCGCTTTCCTATGCTATGCAGGCAATCGCCTATATTTTTACTTTGCGCTGAATAGCTTGTTGTGAATTGTATAATCTCCAACAAATGCGCTGCCGCTTGCTTTGCTTTTACTGTGCCGTAGTCTCGTATACTGTGTATGGGCTGAGCTGATATTCCAACCGTTTACCGTGTACTTGCTTGCTTGCTATAGCTCTATAGTGGCTTCAATGCCCGTCGTTTCAGCTATATTGGAAATATAACACAATACACACAGAGCGTCGTACACCAACAACGAACGAACGAACGTATGAATGCTATGGCAATTGCCTTTGTACAGGCTATTGAATTCAATTCGGAATAGTGGCTATGCCCGGCCCGATGCCCGTTCGTCGTTGCTTCTACTCTTCTATCCACATTGTTTACAAGAACAAACAAATGCTCGCACTCTCTTCGGCGCTCTTGCGTTAATTTCATACTCTTTCCGTAGGTCATGCTCTCACTATTGCAAGTAAATGGCCATTCATATATATATTGTGAAGAGAAGTGTGTGTGTGTTATATGCAGTATTTACTTATATGTTTTCTACTGTGTTGTTGTTGCATAAGGAAACTGTTGGTTTCTGTATGTGGGCCATTCCATATAAACTTCCCAAAATTTCATTTTTCTTTACTCGTAATCTTTTTTTTCTTTTGGAGTTTCATTTTAATTAAAAAGGTCACATTAGCTTTATTTACTTACAGAAATAAAATAATATTTAAAAGAACAAAATAAGATATAAAAGAAATTTTCTGGCAGTGGGATTCGAGCCCTCGACTTCCCGGCTTGCTAAATCCGCAATCTTTCAGCGGATATTTCTTTATATTTCCGAGTAAATTATTTGTTCTATCTCGTCGTAACAAAAGGCTGTTTCTAGGATGTCTATGATTTCTATTCAAAACTTAAAACTTTATTTTAACAAGAATGAGTTTTAACTTACGACTATAACTATGAGCCAATGACTTTCATTTTGAGAGGAGCTTAAAACTGATAGTGGATATCAGATAGAAACATTACAAGGTAAATTCATTCTCTCAATTCGTCGGCCATGATTTTTTTCTGACGTTTGCAAGCATTTTATAATCATATAAAATAAAAATAAAATGAAACTGTTCACAATTGTTCGTTGTACTTAACTAGGTATAAGAAGACGATGATAATTGTATAGGCTCTGGGACCCCAGAGTCTGGCCCGAATGGCAGCATTCGATAGCGAGTGCGCTTCGCCCATTTAACTTGTATTGTGGACAAAACAGCTGCCATTTTGTTTGATTCAACTCGAAACGAGTAATCACTCGACCACAAAATGACGCGATTCGGGCTCTGAATAATAAATGTTGTCTCTCAAATGCATCGACGTTAGAATAGAATGGCCCATATATATATGGTCAAATGTTTAACGAAATTTTCTTGCTTTTGTTGGCGATGTGTCGCAAACGAGGTAAAGAGCGCGCCAAAATTCGTGCTTTTTCCTTTTGTACCAAGCCATCGCCATAATGTAGAAAACTCCCGCGCGCCCGTAGTAACATTCACAAACTGTGGCTATATGTTTTTCTATATGCTTAAATCGTCCCTTTGCATTCGCACACGTGTGTATGTATATGCTTTCTTGCTTGCACTATCTGCTAAACTGCTGAGTTCAATAAAAAGATAGGCGTACTATAAGGGGGCTCTTATAGTTAATTCGCGGAAGAAAATGTGATCAACTGATCTATGTCTTTTATTTATGTCTTATCTTATATCTATATATATGTATCTTTTGTGTGATCAACCGCCCCTCTCGAAATACATTAAAACCGCGCTTGACATGACAAAGTACCGAAATATGGTCTCCTGAGGCCATACATACATGTACATATATCGATGCATCGATTTTATAAATACGTGCTAATTAAAAATTGTATTTCGTTCTTTTTATTTTTTAATTTTTATTTATTTATTTATTTTTTTCCTCTTTTGGTTTTATGTAGATTTGTAAGTTTCGCCGAATGCTATTTGTCTGGCTTTGATTGACATGATGTACTACGTCCTTTTTATTCTCAACTCTTATTCTTATCTTAATTTTAAATTACCGTTGTACTAAAAAAGATCTTTGGGATCTTATTGTACTAATTTTCTGTATAATAATAAACGTAAAGGCCCGTTTACATACAACTTTGGCGTTGCGTTGGCGTTGGCGTCGCTTCGACAGCTGACTATGAATACATGTATTTATATGAAAGTCTCCATATAACCAAAGTTGGGCAACGCCAACGCCAACACAACGCAGAAAGATGGCCAACTCTCAACTTTTCGCGCGCGTCGTTCGTCAGCTGTTCTAAATAATCAAAATTATGTGATTTAATTTTAATTTTTAATCAAATGCGGGCAAGAAATATAGTTTTTAATGCAATTATTGATGTAAAAATTTTGATTTATCAGCCGCTAGTATGTTAATTTAGTGACCAAAGTATTCTGTGCTAAGCGTTCATTGTAGCAAGCACGGGCGTTACGCGCGCCGCTGTCAAAGCGACGCCAGCGCCAACGCAACGCCAAAGTTGTATGTGGACGGGCCTTAAGTGTGACGTACTGGATGCGTGGCGTTTGATCTTTAACAGTTAGTTTTGAAGTTGTTATAGAAAAATTTTGATATGAATTAAAATAAATAGAAGTAAATAGATCTCCAACACTTTGGTTTATTTTAAAAGGTGCTTTTCCATCCATAGGTCGATATATGTAAACAGAAAAGAACCAGCCTTCTGAGTAAAGCATATATGGTCTTAGGTCTCTCAGATCGGCAGTGAGCTAAATCAGGCCAGGAATCGTCCCCAAATTTTTCAAGCAGTAATTCCTATTAAAATTTTATTTACATCCAGTTTTCCCCTCCTATCATAAATTACGTAGAGTTTTGGTGGAACAGCTCTGCGGCCTTTTAATAAAACAAGTTACGTGACTTTAGAAGGTTTGACTTAGGACTAAAAAATAGAAAGTCTAACTTTAAAAATTTTATGTTTTTATTAAGCTTCTATTAAAAGGCATCTTCAACTGCACCTATAGCTAGTAGTACTAGGTTCACATAAAAGTAGATTATCTTCATTTTCGAGCTTAACTCCCTAATCTGTAATTAGAAAAGGAGATAAACCATACAAAATTCGTCCCTCGTTAATCTGTAATTATAAAATGATCCGAGAACATTTCGGTGTCCATCCTAGTTTTATCGATTATTTTTGCAAATAAGAGGAGGAATGCCAAATGAAAAAGTAAACAAAAATGGACGCTGGCAAGGAAAAGGTATTTTTAAACAAATATTAAGCTAAGATATATTTAAATTGCTTAATGTAGTAGAAAAAAGTGATCACGGTGGCGCAGAGAAGGAATTTAACTTTTCCTTGTAATGTGAGAATAACAAGCACAACCGATTTTACAGCTAATAGTCTGAGATTTACCTGTGTAAATGGGGTGATAAAGAAATGAGCTTTGATTGAGATTATATTTGTATGTAAACATACTTTAAGTCGTGCTTAGATTTATCAGTTTGTCCGCATTTTTCATGAACGCATTTGCTTTTTATGTGTTTATAATAGTAAGCTGTCAGGGTGCAATTTTGCTGAAATTTATACATTTATCCACCAAAATCGTTTGATAAAGTGATAAACTTTGGTAAATAGATTTCCATACAAAGTTTGACAGTTCATTTTATCAAGTTTATCAAGAGTTTATCACTTTTGATGAAGACCCCTTTGTTTCGTATACAAATTGGAATTTTTAAAAGGGGCTATGTACGATGACCCCTTCTCGAAACATCCATGTTTTTGCTCATGTAACACAAAGTTGCGGCAAATACATATCTACGTATGGCTTGTTTTTTGTTTATATTATATAGTATACGCGTGAGAATGCGTCATTCCATTCCCCTCTTTTATATTTTTTTTCATATCAACTTTCTTCCCCTTACTCCTCTGAATGATTTTTCTTAATGCACAAAGGCTGCATATTTTTCATACTGCTCGCACTTATTTATTCAGAGGTCTACAGCCTTTCTCGCTTGCTCTTTATATATCATACATTTGAGCTCTGCTCTCTCCCTGACAAACGTGTTTATATAGCTGCTCTTCCGCGTACCCTCGTCAAAATGTATTTTTTGACCAGAACATGAGTTAAGAGAGCCATGACCGATTGAGAGCAGCCGATGCGTACCGAGTCATATGCGCCGTAACAATTCGCATAATGGCCGTTCGTTGTCGTTGTTTAAATGGCGTTGACGATGCTGCCAGCCCTTCCCAACTACCACCGCGTTCGTAGCTATTTCTTTTGTCATAAAAATTCTCACGCAGCTGTGGCTTCATGAATGTTTGTTCTTGTTGTTGGTATTTCTTGCATGAGTTTGGTTGTTGAGAACACATTGGTTATTTGTAAAATAGTAGAAATACAAAATAAAGTATCTGTTTTGCCTGATTATTTCAGATTTCCGTACTTAATTTAAAATATACTCTGCTGCGGTCAGGTTCGTCAGCGGAATCGGCATCAGTCATCGCTGTACATGGGACAAATTAGCGAAACTCGCGTGCACATGTGGCCGCATTTTTACACGGCATATTGAATTTGGAAAGCGAATATTAAGTGGGAGATTTCGTGCACGGTTTTTTATAAACGCTTTTTACAATTCGGTTACATAAATAAAACGCAAATTGGCGAATTTTGTAGTTCGATTTATAAAATTAAAACTGTAATAATGGTTTTTTAGGGCATGAACGGAATTAGCATTTTTCGGGGTTGCAGACTGTACTTTGCGAGCATTCTTTGGCTTCGTTGTCATGTCTTCTTCGATCTCATTTTTAGTTTGCCTGACCGCGCTGAAACACATACATATTTATGTACATAAATACACTACGCGCCTGTTAGCAGCTCGGTTACATATACCGCACACCGTCTTCAAAAGAAGCAGAACTCAAAATTTGGTATTTTTGAAATTATGCGCTAAAAATGTACACGAAAGCTTTTATTTACCTTTCAGCAAAAGCTGGAGCATATTTCTGTTGCAATTTGTTAAAAAAAAACCTAAGGTAAAGTCTCCCTTGCTCATATGATTATCATGTGCTAAGAAATGGAGGTTTTCGCATTTACTGACACAACGTAATTTTGATTTGTGCCTCTTGAAAACTGTGTGCGATATGTACATACATATGTATGGTCATACACACACACGTGTATATACATACATACCGTCGTTTGAAGTACAAAACCGCCTATCGTCGTTCTGCAAAGCCGCGTAACTGACATTTTTGGCCAAAAATTGGATTTTCTCGCCGAAGCTCTTGGCTTAAGCCAAGGCGTATCCATACAAGGTGGTGGCAATAGCATATAAGTAAAAGTCCCGTGTATTTTGTTATTGCATTTGGGAAATCTTTAGCTGTTTGTACAACGATTTAGGGGTGGAGGGGCGGAGGTGGAGAGGGGCGCGGCTCCTCAAACTCCCCCTAAACGAAAGAGGATGGACGCCGCGTTATGAAAAGTCACCCCTCACCCTCCCCAGCAATTACATATGTATTGTAAAAGTCACATTTACAGATGCAACTTTATTGTTTATATTTTTTTTTAAGTTCAGCACTTTACCAAATATATCCACATTTCAAATTTCGTACGAAAAATGTGAAAATTCAACAAACTAACATTTGCACCCAAAAATTTTAAAATTTTTATTTAGAATTTTTAGAAAAATTGTGGGCATGCAGTTCTGTAGCTCATTAAATTTTAGTAGGTTAAAGTGCAAATTTCAAGACGCTGGAAAATCGGGTTGATTTTTAATATTTTTTTTCTGATGGTGCTAGGCATTTTCTCCCATTCAAACGAAATTGTCTAGCATATTTTATATGGAAAAAAACGCACACCGTCAGCCAAAAAAATTATTAAAAATCAACGCGATTTTCTAGCGTCTTGAAATTTGCACTTTAACCTTCTAAAATTTAATAAATTTGTACGAAGATTGAAATATGGGTTTGGTTAGGTAAAGTGCTAGACTTTCATAAAAAAATATAAACATTAAAAAAAACAAGATTAAAATTGCCAAAACAAGTCAAAATGTTACTTGACTTAATCAGCTGACGACAAGGGCACAAATACCCAGTGGGAAAACAGTGGGAATGCATTAAGTTATGAATAGCCGCTATAGCCTATGCATGAAAATATGCAAGAATTTCTCTACAGCGATGTCGTACGAAAGTAATGTGCTCGCATGTTGTTTAACAAAACTATAAATACATAGAATAAAAAAATAACGTCCATAACACTGGCTGGCACACTGCCAAATTTCCAGCAAGAGATGTTAATAAGCGCTGCCATATATTGCAGTTCATTTGCAATAAGCGACCTCCATATATTATTAAGTTTGTATAGTAACCAAAAATCAGTACTAATTTGTACTGGAACCTGCAAATTTTTTCTGGAAAAGTGTATGATAACCCAAAAAAATTTGCAAGAGAGCACTGAATCGAGAGCGTAACAACACGGGAGAGCTGCAAATTCTTGCTAGTGAAATTTCTACTAGCAGAAATTAGCTAGCATAAGAAGAAGAAGAATAAATGTCAAAAGCCGCCATTTGTTGAATTGGTTTAGCACCAGTGTTACCACTTCGGCATTTTTCAGGCTAAATTTAGCTTTTTTTGAATGCATTTAGCCTCAAAATAAGTGATTTAGCTTTTAGCCTTTTTAAGCTTTTTCTTAATTTCATTTGGCCTTTTCTAGCCTTTTTTCTTTTTTCTTACTTAAGTTCTTCATTGAATCGAAATTTTGAAAATAATATTTATATCATAAAAAAATGTGTTATGGTAACTCTAAAAATAGTAGTAGATATCACAGCAAAATTTGTTTATGGTAACTCTGAAAATAGTAAGCACAAAAAAGTTATCGACTATCGTAAAGCACAAACCGGTTTGCGTATCACTATTAGTTGGTATTTTCTAACTGAGTGGCGTCGGAAAAGAGTTGTGCTTTGTGCTACGAATTTTTTAATTTTAACCTCAACCAATGGATAGGTAAATTTCAGTACATCTCAAATTGTATTGTCTCTTTTAATGTTTTTTTTTTGTTAAAGATATTTGACGAAGCGATCGGTTGAAGAAATTTTGCATGGAAGTAACGCCAGTGATTCTGATTGTGAAATACATTCAAGTGTATATGATACAAGTATTTAAAGGTAAAACCGTTCGCTGAATTTATATTTTTTGTTTATATTTTGAAGTTTGTCTACTTTATAAAATTGAAATTTTCAGAGCAACTACAACGCTAAAAGTAAATCCTTTAATTTTTTGTATCATGGTTATGTACATATAAAGATTTATGCCGAATTGTTATGTTTTAAACTCAATAAATTTGAAAAAGAAAGCAAAAAATGATTTTTTTAGCTTTATTTTAGCTCGAAAAAAAAATTTTTTTTTTAGCCTTTTTTTGGAGACAATCTAGCTTTTTTCTTCAAAAAATTCTGGCAACACTGTTTAGCACAAACAAAAGTAAAATGAGTAGAAATCAAAATATTAATGATGTACTGGACTGTGTAAGTGCGTGTGTGTAAAGCAAAGCGTGTAAAAATGATTTATAAATAGTAAAATGTTTACAGCAAAATATCAAAACAGTGCAACAGCTGTTCACTTGGAAGTTTTTGCTAGTTTTGTGTTCATTAACTTTTTCTGCTAGTTTTCTGTTCTTCTCAATTTTACGCTCTGTTTTGCTTTTACGCTCTCGCTGCAATGTTTTACTGGAGAAGTTACTATACAAACCTATTTTGTGACATGATTATCACGACATCAGTGTTTTCTTGTGTAGACAAGCCCTTGCTTTCAGATGGCCAAGAAAAGCCAAAGGCCAATCGGAATAGGGCCGAGTGTTCGTCCGATACCACCATTTACTCGATTCCAGTACTTATTTTAGAACATCGAAGGGGGTACTCGATGCTACTCAATGTATCGCTAGAAAATACTCGATTCTACTTGTACTCAAAAGTACTCAGACGAAATATTTCAAAACAGCAATTGTTTTAAATAAATAAAACCATCTTTTTGTGTTACAAAGATTTAATTTAACGCAAAAAAGCTTTTTAATATGAAAATATATGCTTATTTTTAATATATGCATATAGGTAACTCTCGTAACTTTTATATGTTAGTTACAAAGATATAATTTTACGTGTCAAACTTAATGGCCGCATTTCTTTATTTATTCTGAACGTTTGGAATAAGCATATTTGTTTACTTAATCTTTAGAACGTTCCTGATGATATGTTAAGGTATATTTCAAAAGCATTCTGTTTATTCTGGCTGTGAAATGGGATTATCTGGAATGTGGAAAGAAACGCCGCCAATAAATCCAACTTGTGGCAACTTTACTAATTTTGACTAGAGTTGCATACATTTTTCGACCGAGTAAATACTTGCACAATATACTCGATACCCACCAAAAACTTGGTCACATGTATCGAAGTACAAAAAATACTCGGTAGTTGGTAGAGGTACTCGAGTATTTACTCATATGTACTCGTATCGTAATATAACTAGGTGCAGCATGCTTCATCCCAGCAGGATGCATTTCGGACCCCCGTCCGAATTTTCCTGCTGAAGCGGCTGTCTTAGCCGATGAGCGTGATCATTTTCGTCAGGCCGATCCCGGAAATCCCCGTATCAGGGATCTCTACACGGAAATTCTGCAACTAGTTAATGTGCATAAGTGCAAGAAGTGGGAAGAGCATTTGAACACCTGTAACTTCGCCTCTGGTGTGAGCAAGCTTTGGTCAACCGTGCGGTCAGTTTCCAATCCGACAAAGCATGACGACAGAGTTGAAATTTCTTTCGGCGACCGTGCTTCGTCGAACACGGAGCAATGCGCTAGCTACTTAACACTACAGTCCACGCTGCATCTCCAGAGGACAAAGTGAAACGTCGAGTGACCAGAAACCTGCAGAAAATGCCAACGCCCAGACGCCTGTTGCTTTCACCAGCTATGAAATTGGGTTTTCAACCTATTCATGGCCATCCTCATCATCCGGAAAACGGGAAGAGTGGTCGCACTGCTTAAACCGAGGAAACCGGCCAACAAGGGAGAGTCGTATCGTCCGATAACACTCTTTTCCCCAGCATAGAAGACACATGAAGCCCTGCTACTCCCGCACTATACGTACTACTTGACCCCAGCGAGACATCAGCTCGGCGACCACGCCTCATCGGATCCGGAGCGATTCGCGTGTAATTCTAGCCGACAGTTCACAGTTTCCCCCGGTAGCGAAGACACAAGAGGCCCTTCTACTCCCGTACTACACAAACCACCTGACCCCACCGAAGCATCAACATGGGTTCCGTAAGGTGCACAGCACAAACACAGCACTTAACGCCATAAACACCCAGATAACTATCGGCTTTAACCGAAACCACCCCTGTGTGAAAACAATTCTAGAAGCGTTGGACCTGTCCATGGCGTTTAACACCGTCAGCCACTCCACGCTACTAGAAGATATAGAGGCCTCCTCTCTCCCACAGAGACTCAAGTGGTGGTCGGCGAATTATCTGAGCATATCAGCTATTTTGTGTTTACATGGTGAAATAGTAAATGTATTTTCAATCTTTATATACTTAAAATCAAATTTGTGAAACAAAAATTAAATTTCCAAGAGTTTGCATTTAAGTGACAAAAACAAAAACAACGCGAATCAGCTGTTTCTCAAATTCTGCGCACAAAATTAGTTTTTTTTGGGTTCCCGTACTTCTGGATTATGTTCCATTTTTGAGAGCAAACTTTTCGCTTATTCTCTAATTACCGAATCCGGTCCGGATTGTAAAATGTACATTTAGCCATACAAAATTCGTCACCTAAATGCAACTAAATTTCCACGATTCGAACATGGTTTAATGAAAAAACTGGCAACATTGATTTTTCGCGTATACAGTGGCTAGCTGCGTTTCAGTGATCGTCGATCGAGATTTCATTTGTTATTTAAATAAAGAAACGTTACGCAAATTCAACATCGATGTGATGCTGATAGAAATCTGGATCAATTTGTGATCAACTCCGTTTGTTTTGCGAAAAACTGACAGTTGTCTCTCTCGCTCCGCTCCCTTAGCAGTGGCACCGTGTTGCTTCTTTGCGAATTTACATGGAAACAATGTAGCTTTGTTGTGAAACAGAAGTATAAGCTTTTGTGCAATATGTTTATTCGTATATGCATGTGAAGCATATTTAACTGATGAAAACATAAACTGTTGTTAAATTGGATGTTTACATCAATCTCATTGTAGTCTTGTTTTAATTTTGAGTCATTTTGCAGTTTTTCTACTGCTAAATAGCAAATATATTATGTAATTCACGTAGATATATCAGTATTACGTTCAACATTTCGTTTAAAATGCCAGATTTCCTGCAAATACATTAGAATTTACAAAAGGAATTTCACTACTAATTGCCTACTTTGTGTACTTTTCTACTTCCATTTTCGCACCAAGAGATTTCATTCTTCCCCTTTCTCCGTCCTTCGTAAATGCAACCCTTTGTAAGGGAGTGTCAAACCGCAGCTGTCAATAATTATCTAACCTTGTATTATTGAATCATGAGTTGGTTCATGGAACTGTACGATTACTATACCACCTTATATGAAGACGGCTTGGCTTGCAAGTTCTGGTTTTCGATAATCGAATAAAATATATCGTTGCAACCAATAATATCGCATTAATCGATACGTCGGAATTTATTCGGTTAACATCGCGCATCCCTACTTCTTCCTCATTGATTTTTGGGATTTCGTAGCGTGTTTTTCGTCGTCTAGAATATTTGTGAAATTTTAATTTTGAGTATATTCAAAAATCGGTAAGAAATGAACCGTTCACGGCGACCACAGCAAAATAAGCCATTTGTCGCTGGTGGAGTTTATGTAAGTAAATTTCATAATGTTTTCTATGCATGTACATTAACCTGGTCATGAAATGTGTATGTATCTACTGGTTATATTGATTGAATTAAAGATTATAAAAGTCATTTAGTTAGCCGTTGGTGATTCAGGTGCTCCGCATACGATTTACATAACGAATAATTTGCAAAAGTATTTGCGGAAATTGGTTTCTGTAAAGAAAATACATAGTACTTTTCTGGTATTTTTGTATGTATACGGAGAAAATTGACTTATTTGTTCAATTTGCTTTGTTACATGCATATGTACATATGTATGTATGTCTAACCGGAAAACAATTAAAAATGGCGCATGCTTACGGCGCGTTTCCAAAGGCAAAAATTATTGCCTACCAACCGTCGAATTTATTGCATGATAGAGTTACTCACAAAATGAGCGTACGGCTCTTTTGTTGTTAATATCCGCAATGTTTTACATGCTAATTTTTTTTTAAATTTTGTATTAAAATATGGCTTATATTTTAGCAAACCCTATTTAAATCCAAGAATGAAACAGTTATGCCTATTACGGTATCCGACGGATGCCATCCGCACGGATCTAATCCGATTCGCACTGTCATAACAAGCGAGTGAGAAGAATTAGATTCATGAGAATGCGATCCCTTGGAAACACACCTATTCCGGTCCGACCGATACCATTCGCACGAATCTAATCCTTCGCACTCGCTTATTCCGACTGTACGAATCTGATTAGATCCGTGCGGATGGCATCCGTCGGATACCGTAATAGGCATGAGTACGAAAATTAAGAAAAATCTGCAAAGTTGCAAACTTTAGTACGGGTTTCTAAAAAGGATTCAGGTATGCAGTTTTATAGCCCATTAAATTTTAATATATATTAGGTATATATATAGATGATGAATATTTTTTTTTACATATATTCTGATTTTTCAGAATTTTTTCGCTGACTGGCGGCATTTTTTTCCTTACAAAAAAAATATCGACGCGAATTTTTAGACATTCGAAACTCGCACATTATTATATTAAAATTTAATGTGCTATAAAACTGCATACCTGAATTCTTTTTAAAAATTCGTATTAAAAAGCTCGCGATTTTCCTGAAACTTTGCAGATTTTTCTTAATTTTCGTACATTGTTTCATTCTTGGATTTAAATGGGGTTGGCAAAAATATAAGCCATATTTTAGTTCAAAATTAACAAAACGATTTTAGCATGTAAAACATTGCGAATATTAACAAAAAAATGAGCTGAACCCTCAATTTCGGGACTAACTGTACATTTTATCAGGGGTAATATTTCTGCGTGGCCTTTTTCATCTTCCCTGTAAACCATTTTTTCAGAGTATTCTGAATTGTAGAGAAATTTTAAAGAATTCTTAAAGATCTCATCCGATATTTTTACGAATTTTCAAAATGAAATAAATTGTACACACTTCGATTATTTTACGAAATATCGGCATGAATATAGGAGGCAA